CGCTATAAGGCTATAGTGAAGATTTTAAGAGATTTGATTAGCCAATTCGCTATAATAAGAGTATTTTTATTATATTTATTCAAAAAATTCATTAATCAAGAGTTTGCTATATCAAGAGTTAACTGTATAACAGAATCTTATTTAACTTGAAAACTATGAATTTTATTATATAAACTATAAAAGAATCAATCCTCTGATACTGTATCTAATAATTACAATCTGAAAGATTGCATGTTAACATTATCTATAATATAAAGTAAAAGTTTTAGTTAAAGTGTTAAGGCAATTAAAATATGTAAAATAGAAATAATTTATTAGATATAAATTTTTTGTATTAATTGTATTAAATCTTTTTAAAAAAAATTTTATTTATTAAAATAAATCAAAATTTATAATGGAACATAAAATAGAAACTTTTTAACATAATATAATAGATTTAATTATATATTTTAAATATACATATTTTAAATATTTAGCAATATATTTTTTTAATTAATTTAATGATATTTTAACTATCTGATTTTATTTTATATTTTTAGTGTTATCTTTGTTTAATGATACATTTTTTTAGTGTTATAAAATAGTTTTATTTAATATTAACCTCTCTTATATTTTGAATTTATACATAAATTTATAGATCATATAAAATTTATTTTTTTATAAAAGATATAAGAAACATTGATATAATAGTTAACCTTTTTTTCTTTATTAATTTGTTAACTTTTTTTTATTCTATGTATGAAAAAATTTGCTTATGAATTGATAATTAGAATAAGTAGATATAAAAATTAATATTTACTAAGCAAATAATTACTAATGTATAATATTTACCACAATAAAAACAAATAAAAGATTTTTTTTATTAACTTGAATAATAATTACTTTTTAATTAGAGATTCACAGCTAAAAGATTGGTGAAAATAATATCTTAAAGTTCATATAATAATGATATCCATTCTTTTATTTCGTAAATAAAATTAAAATCATTTAATTTATAAATATTTGCTTCTTATTAAAACACTTATACTATATGTAATGTATGTAATGTTCAAGATCTGCTAAAAAATAAAAATTAATGATTAAAATGTTATTGAGTAAATAAAAAAAATGCATTACAGTTGACCTCCTGTATAGTCACACCCTTCGGAAATAAATTTGGTGTGATTATAAAAAAAGCTAAACGATGTGACTATAGAGGACAATAATGGGGGAGTGACTATATATAGGGGACAATATATTGTTTATGTTACCCAAAAATATTTTTATGTTTATATGCAAATTATTTAAAACCATTTTATTACTTTAATAATACATTCTATATAATCTATTTTGAGAAAAATTGTTTCATACAGCAATAAGGGGACGGGCGAAGAAATGATATCATTTAAATTTGGACTTTCAATGAGTAATTTTCTAAAATGGATTTTATTATAGCTTACGAATAAATCTTTCTTAATGAAACAAAGACCTTTTTATCCAATTAATGACTCACATTGAATCATGAAAATATGTACATGTACGTATTGTCAATCATGTACGACATTTGTCGGCCGATTTTCACAATAAAATTTTAATATTTTAGGTATTTTGGACATTAAACAATTCGGTCGTAAAAAAAAATTTTTTGGTCTTAAAATTGTAATATTTTATTATATCAAATTAAATATCTTAATTTTTGAATACGTTAGGACAAGGCTATTATTAGGGTAGGTTGTCACTAACGAATACTAATACAATTATTTGTTTTATTTTAATTTTGTAATTATTAGATGCTAAATTAATATTAAAAAGAGAGTGCAAAGATATATTATATGTTAAAATTATGAACTATGTACAAAATATTTTTTAAATAAAAATGATAAAATGAAATAAGGATGCAAATTCTATATTACTTAATGTTGAAGTATGAAATTCTTATATTTATAATGATGTGAAGAGAAAATTAATTATATAATTATATATTTATATATATTTTTTAATGCCCACAAATAAAAGCATCATAGGTTGGAGGTAATGAATCGGCAAGAGGAGCAGGTATTAGGGAGGATATACTTCGATAAGAAGGTAATTTGTTCAACTCTTCAATATTATAGTCATCAATTAAACATTCATCAAAAGAAGAAGTTGAAGAGATCGAAGAAGAACATGAAATTGAAGAATCATCTTCAGGTAAAATCATATCAGCATAATGTTCATGATAAGCCGGTAAAGCCATTGAATCATTATTAGGGGAGATTATAATTGGAATATCGGCAATCAATTCGCTAAAATTTGCGCCACCTTGGTTGGCGAACATTATAAAGAACTTAAGCTTATGTTTGATTTTGATGATTTCATTTTGTGAGTCGCAGAGACATGCTGAAGTTGGAACAAACATATCAAAAGAATGGCTCCAAGTATCCCCTTCACAAGGGAAATTATTTTCTCGATGAACTCTCAAAATCTTTGAAACCGTTTTTTTGCTTGTCCCCACAGCACACGTGGCGTATTCTTTTAGTGTGCATAAAAGATAATGAACTTTGAGACCTTGATGGATCGGTTTTAAGTTTACCGTTATTGGGACTTTGTCACCAAAAACAAAAACTTTTGAATCCACGGAAATTTCATAATCGACTTTATTTGTCCAAGTATTTGCCACCACCGAATTTAGTGCATATTCGAATGAACTTGGTAATAGACTTCTTTGTAAGGTGACTTTCCTTTCCGAATGAAGGTTGAGAGCAAATGCGGGCCTTTCCGCAACAGCTTTTAACTTGTAACTTAATTTTCCAAGTTCACATTTATCAATTGTCTCGGGTAAAGTTCCAGGAAGGATCAATTCAAAATCCCAGTGATAATTATCGGGTGCGAGCACGGTATGCTGTTTTTTTGCTGGTAAAAATACCCAGTCGTGTTGAAACAAAACTCTTTCTTCGTTAAGATAATATTGACTTGATCCTACTCCTTAAAAATTAGAAGAAAACCATTGTTAATGAGGTGAACATATATAATAAGAGTGCAAAGTGTTGGAAAAAAAAAGCGCGATAATTACCATCTGTCCATGCCAACTTCGATTTTCCCTGAAAGGTTAATTTAATTTCCTTGAATTTCGTTGGTTCAGTTATGACTAAAACGAGTTGACCACGAAGAACACAACCAACCGACTCTGATTGTAAACCACGCATTGTCAAAGTATCTTGTTCTAAACGTATCTGAAATAAAGGTGAAGGTGCCGAAAGATGTACCATCTTTTTTTTTTATTTTTAAATATTTAATAAAAGTCAAGAATGAATTATATGATTAATCAAAAAGTGAAATATCTAAAGATGATATATATTTAAAGAAAGGTTTCGGTTTAAAATTTTTTCAGAAAAGATATTTATTAATTATAGTGGCTTTTTTTTTTTTAAAAGCTAAAGGTTTTGAGAATTTTTTTTTTTTTTTTTTGAAAAAAGTCGAACCATATTTATAATGAATTCATTATTGTTTTAATTTTACAATAAAGTATATAAATTATTATTCACACGATTTTTTTTTTTTTTTTTTTTTTTTTTTTATATACTGTATATATCGAATACAATAAATAAATAACAATAAACATTACATATATACTAATATAATTTATTTGTCCTTTTTTTTTCACATCAATAACAAATCCTTTTGTGGGGGATTTCCGTTATAAGGAATATGTACATATTGAAATTTATTTATAAACAAAATTTTTTTTTTTTTTTTTTGGACAATTCATCATTGAACTTTAATTTTTGGGCTGACAAAAAAGCGAGACCCATTTCAAGAAATGTGATATAATTTTTTTTTGAAAAAAAAGGTCATCTGGTTACTAATTTCAAATACATATATATTTAGAAAGGAATACAAAGAATTTTGCAATATAACCTGATGGAACATACAAAATATTCATGTACAAGCATCTAATCACATAGATAATAAAAACTACTAATATTTATTTATATTATGATGTAAGGTCCCTTAAATATCTTCCATCTGATAATAATTTACAATATAAATTGCATTGTTATTATGATCCTTAAATTAGTTTAGTATTAGATCTTTTTACGTTATCTATTATTCATCTTCAAAAACAATTGAATCATAAAGTACAAAAAACAATTTTTCGAGGAGTAAATTTTTTTCCACCATTAATTACATTTAGTGGAATAATAAATCAGCCATCTCCAGTTTAAGTTATATTTTCATCTGGAAAGGCGATGAATTTTAGCTCGATTCGTTTAATAAAAAAAAAAATAATTTGTTTTGATGGTGTCACTTGAATATTTTTTTGTGGGGTAAAGTATACACGTGTGTTATTAATATGATAAAATTTTTTTTGTTGGTTTTATTTGGTCCATTATAAAATGGAATTCTCAAGAAATGACACAACACTAAATTGGGTCCTTTGGCTGATGAGAAAAAAATCAGATGATAAAATAAATTAGGGATGATCAACCAGCTTTACGAATGAAATTATAAATAATATATAAAGAATTCGGTTATTAAATATATAGAATCATCCCATGGTGAAATGTTTTTTGATATTAGGATTCTTGGCAATCCAAAAAAAAAAAAAAAAATTCTACATTCCTCGTGACGAAATAGGCTATGGATTGTGGAACTTCATTTTTACGCCAATACGAAATTTGGTAATTTGTTTTTCAATGATGAATAATAGCTAACCTTTGATGTCTTTTCACATAAGTTTAAGCCATTGACCAAATGATCACACATCATTTCTTCAAGGATTATTAATTTTTCTCGTGCAACTTAGCCCCGCTTTTTTTTCCCTTTCTCATCCGTTTCTTTTATTTGTCACAGAAATCCTTTTTCACGTAGCATAAACAATCATGCAACCCACTTAAACAATTCCCAAAGTTGGGGTGTTTCTCTTTGAGTTACTCAATAAATAATTTCTGTATGCAGGTAAACAGATAAACAATAAAAAGTGCAAGTGAGCTTTGATGAGAAAAAGTAAAATACTATTATCCTTAAATGGTTCAAGGTTGATATGAATTGCAGGCGAACTTTACGCAAATCTATTTAAGGTATAAATGAAAATGAAATGCATGAATGAAGCATTTGTTATGACGGCTTTTTTTTTTTTTTCCCTCGAGATGCAGCTTCGTTCTGGATAGAATGTTTGCATTACAAGAACTCGGTTATTTGTTATTTTTTTTTTTTTTTCATTAAAAAAGATTTTCGAGAGACAAGGTTCATTAAAATTACATTCCAATTTGTCCAAAAGACGAAAATTTTTACCTTTTACGCTTTTACGCATTTACGCAATTCTAAATTTTAAAAAAGAAAGGAATTATGTAAACAGTTAGTGGCATATCATTTATGCATTATTTTGATTTCTTTAACTTTAAATGTTCCTTTTGCCGAGTAATAAACTTCCTGATTATCTATCAAATATTGATCTGATAATTGATAAGATTAGATAAGATTTTTCTAACCAAACTACGCATAGGAGTTTTACCAAATATTTACTGTATGTTACTTGAAATTTATATCATGATTGGAGAAGATCCCAATCGTTTATTTTTTTCAATTAGCCTTAAAATTGGATTGTTGAAAACTTACAATTGTTTTTTGGTTCTAGAAAATATCAGATTTGTTTTGAAATTTTTTTTTTTTTTTTTTTTCCTTTGCATCTACACCAATAATATCAGATAGAACAGATTTTTTTTTGCTTTCAAGTTTTTTAACTAGTATATATATTTATTAATATTGTATTATTTATTGCATTAAAAAAGCATTTTAAAAAAAAACCGGTTTTACAATTTTAAGGCCAAGATTACATCTTGTAAACTGTGATTCAAATACAAAAAAGCAGTGGACTTAATAATGTCTCCAATTAAAATTCGTTTATTGGAAACGTGCATTAATGAATTTTTAATAGCATTTTTTTTTTTTGGTATTTTGAATTTTTAAAAAAAGAATTGACGAGAAAATTTTCGAACAATATGATCATTTTTTATTTCTTTTTTTTTATTATCATTTTTACGTAATAAAAATCCGATTGTGCATGATTATTTAGAGATTGTTTCATTTTTTCATTTAAAAAATTCTTGTGAGAAAAAAAAAATTATCTTTTCCATCACACATTCACACGGGCTGGGGAATTTTAGTTACATTTATGTAATGTAATTTTTATCTGATTTTATTAATAACAAATGAATACGCCCGATTATATGAGTGAAATTGTCTACAACGAAAATATTAAACTGAGATACAATTTACCAAATAGGGGATAGACAACCTTAGTGAAGACTAAGAATGTCCGAAATCTATTGGTTCAACCCTTCAGTCCATTTCAGCATTTTGGTGGGTTGTTTACCACAAACAATATAAACACTTTGTAAAGTACAAGCAACAACCCGGCACCACGACCTTTCTAACGAAATATCAGGATTTGTTCAAAAGCGCTATACTTTGAAAACGGTGACTCATTTTACATCATGCCGTATTATTTCATGTTAATTATAATTGGGTCGAAATAATTTATCCGAAATTTTTTTACATGAAAATTAAGGTTGGAAAATTTTATATCTAATAATTTTCTATCTTCCTTTATCCATTTTTTTATTCTCAAGTTTTTTATAATAAAAATTACTTTACTGAATCCGTGTCATACCTAATTCATCTCTGATAACAAGATGTGTTTTCTCTGTTATATCGCTATGTAAAGAATCCGGATGATATTTAATCGGTGACCTTGCCGTGGCGATTTCTGGCAATTTCGCTCAATAACTAAAAGTCGCTTTGTTAATTTTTTATACATTTATTTTTAATACGTTTTAAAGTTCGATCAAAGTACATATCATAAAGAACATTAATCATACCTTTTTGATTTTTTCTTTCTAATGAATTCATTCGGATTATAGTGCTTTCTTTTCGAGGAGACAGATTCGAAAGCTTGTAGGTCAGAACGCCCTTTGCTAGTCATGACTTGCTTAAAAACAACTTTTACTTTGATTTTGTTTCTTTTTCCATCTTTTCGGCAGTACTTTTCATTCAAACCAATAAAAACGAACATTTAGCAATATACTAAGGTCAACAACTAAAAGTAGATATCAACATTCCTATTACGGATGAACTTTTTTACCCCTATTGGAAGAGTAGCGGGTCTATCAAAAGTCCTGCCCCATTTTGTCTCAGTATACAAATCCTTCGTTTGCGTCCCTGTCTCCATACGAAATTGTACTCCAAGGTCGAGCAATCCTAAAGCCTGATCGAAGTTGCTCAAGCTTTCTTTCTACAATTTAATCATCAATCGTTGCTCCAGAATCTTTTCCGTTTTTGTCTTTTTAATAAATGGGTTTAAACTGCCCAGTATTTCCAACATTCCATGAATATAAGTTGCTCTCCTTGGGAAAAATGGACTCTGAAAAATTGAAGCGGCGAGTAAACTTGACATATGAACAATATTAAATCAATAATTAAAAATATATATATATATAAATTAATACATTTAATTACATTTTCTAGGTTCAAGCAATTGGTCCCGTCTCGTCTCAATATTTCTCAAAATCCGTTGTGCAAAGAAATATACTGATATATAACCTATTTTAAAGATTGACCAGAATGAAATTCGTCCTTTAAAAAAAAAATAAATTGTTAAATTTCAGAAAGAGGCGAGAAAAAGCTTTCTTGTTATCAAAAGGACGATATAGCTTAGTATATGTGTAATACCTAATTAAATTCAAGTTTTCCTGCAAGTAAGTTTCCGTATAAAATCTAGCTGCTTCTTTCAGTGAAGTTTAGTGTAAGACTAGAGCTTCTAAGTGTACTGTAGTTCCCACCTTTGCAAAGGTAAAGAAAATCACAGTTGAGCAGTTGAGACGCGACGCGTCCAAATTGATGCGTTTGTAAATCTGTCCCAATATGTCCGAAATTTATTTGCATTTACATAGTCCGGAACCGCATTTGGAACGTAATTTTGACTTATTCCGGACACACCCGGACTTTTGTTGATGTTTTTCCGAACCATGCTTATATCACTTTGTCGATCATTTGCCGATCATGTATAACTGAATTATCACATTATTAAATAGCAACACAGCATAATGTTCGGACGAATTCTACATTTCAATAAAATTCAATAATTTATATGAATATGTATATGTATAATAATACAATATGATTCTAATAAAGAACCGAATTTCCCAAAACGTAAATTGAATTTTATTATAAAATATATATTTAGAGCTCAGTTCGGGTGACCTATAAATTTATGGCTCAATATCGGTCAGGTTTCAATTTTGACCCGACCCGATTATATGCGAAATACATAAATTAGCTAAAATTATCAAAGATAATAAAATCAAATTTTAATAAATATAACAGTTAGTTTTAAATTATATCCCTTAAATGGTAAAATTTACAAGCAAAATTTGCTTGCAATTTTTAAATTAAAATTTATTAATTAACCTATATATATATATATATTTTTTTTTTGATTTTACTTAATAAAAATATTTTTAAATAATAAAAATTCATATTGTATTTTAAGATATTTTTTATCTTACTTTATATTATTTAATTTTTTATATACAATATAGACACATAATATTGTAAGCAAATATGCTAATAGATTTAATAAATTTTTAACAAAATTTTAAATTAAAATTTATTAATTAATCTAATTTATTTTTTATTTTTACTATAAACAGAACAAAAAAAAAAAAAAATCTATAAATTAGTATCATTTGGAAGAAGGTTAATTACTTCATAAATACTAATCTAATTTTAATAAAAATTTGTAATTAAATAGTTTTAAATCTATTAAATAACTACTTAAAATATTAAAAATAATTTAAGATGATTAAAGTTTTTAAAAAATACTTTTAAATTATTAAACAAAAAAAATATATGAAAATCATAATTTACTTTATAGATATTATTCTAAATTAATAAAATTTTAAAGTTATTAAAAAAATTTATAAATTATTATTATAAAAATATGATTTACTTTATTAAAAAAATTTAAATAAAATTGCATTAAATTCATAATAAGGAATACAATAAAATCCTTTTGATATGACAAAAGTTTAAACTATTGTAAATATATTTAAAATATATAATAAAATTAGTAATAAGTATCTATAATTTTAGTTTTTTTAAAATAATATATTAATTATAGCTCATTTTTAAATTTAAAATATTGAGATTTATGATAATAATATTAATAATAAGATTATTAAATATTAGTCTATATGTTATTAGCTTGGTATCTATAAACTAAAACAATTTACTTTTAATTTGATACATTAAAATATTTAGATTTTAAAATAAATAATATTATTAGAATTATTATTAAAGCTTTCTAACAAATTAATTATAACTTTATTGAATTAATAGTATTGAAATATTATAGATCAATAAATTAATTGATAATTTTATAGATTATTATTAAATAAATTATAATTTTTTAACTGTATATTAATAATCAAAATAGCTAAAACTTTAAAAATAACAAAAATAATAATAATATTATTATTAAGTTATAATAATTAAATAAATTTAATAAAGTTTAAAGTATTTTTATAATTTTTTTTAGTTTTTTTCTTTATTTTTAATTAATAATAAAAGTAAAAAAATTTTATATAAACAAAATAATTGTTATATAAAGTTTTAAAATAATTTTTAAATATATTCACATTAAAAAAATAATTAAAAGTTTATAATTTGATAAGTTTGTAAATCAAAGTTTATTAAAATCATTAATCTATTATTACTTTTTCTACTATTAATTTAAATTGATAATTTTATTAATGTGACTAAATCTTTAAAATTATTAAAATAAACTAATAATCTTTAAAAATCTAAAATTTACTAATTTATTTTTAATTATTAAATTCTTGTTAAAAAATTTTTAGTATTTTAATTAATATTTCTTATTATAAATATAAATTAAATATAATTCTATTTAAATAATTACATTAATTAAATTTAAAATTAATAAAACAATTAAAATTTAAATAAGTTTATTAAATGCTATTAAAATTATAATAATTATAATAAATTAATAAATATTAATTATTATATTATTTAAATATAATATTTCTATTTATTAAAATAATTTATTAATATTATTAAATTTTTTATCTTATTCTAATCTTTTTAATCTAAAATATTATATATAAAATAATATAATATCTTTCTATTTTATAAAATTTTCTAATATTACCGTATTTCTCTAAAAATAAGTAATATATTTTTGCTATATTATTGCTTATTTTTAGGTATGTTTTAATCAACTTACAATGTACAATCTAAAATCTGCTAATTCATCAATAAATCTCGTGATTATTAATCACGTTAACCATCTAATATCACGTAAAATCACAAAAATTTTTTTTATTCAGCTAAAATGCCATATTCTACAAAAAAAAGAATTGTTAAATGAAAGGTTATAAAAGTTAATAAACGTACATAAACTTCATATTCTATCAAATAAAAAATACAAGTCATTACCTATGCAAAAGAACATAATTACATTAAGGCAGCAGAGTACTTTGACATCAATCGTAGCATGGTAGAATATTGAGTAACTACTAGTTCAAACTGAACAATTGAAACAAAAGGAAAAAATAAGAGGCTTAGCTTTGAACGAGAAGCCTTTTATTCTGAAGCTGAGAAGAGACTTTATGAATGAATTATAGAACAAAAAAAGTAAGGTCTCGCAGTTACTTATACAATAATATGAAGTAAAATGCTAGAAATTTTAAAAAAACTAAATATGGAGATTCTTTATGATAAGTCAAATTTTAAAATATCTTACCACTGGTTAACTGCTTTTATGAAAAGATATAGGTTAGTATTATAGAGAAGAATTAGAATATCTCAGAAGCTTCCTAATCAAACTAAAGAGCAATTAGAAAAGTTTTACCAATTTGTTACTAATCTAAGAATTGAAAAGTCATTTGAATTAAAGAATATTTATAATATAGATAAAACATTTGTTTGGTTTGATATAGCTGGTAATTTTACTATTAATCCAAAGGGTAAAAAACAATCCATATTCATGCAATAGGTAATGAAAAAAATAGGTTTACAGTTATACTTACATGTGTTGCAGGTAAGCTTTTCTTTTTTTTTTATAAAATCAAAATTTACTTACTAGTACTATTGATTCATTATTATAGATAGGACCAAACTTCCTTTAATATGTATTTTTAAAGGAAAGAGAATACCACACGGAGAACAAATTCCTTCTGGTATTATTGTTTAGTTCCAAAAAAATGGTTAGATAGACTCTAATTTAATAGTAAAGTATGTAAATTATCTCAATGATATAAGAATAAAAAACAGGTTTCAAGAAAATCTAGTAATGCTTATATATGATTCTTTTAAAGATTATTTGGAAAAATCAGTAAAAAGAAAGTTTCATGAAATTGGCTTTGATCTTGCAGTAATTTCAGATGGATTGACTAGCATTTGTCAGCCACTAGATATTGCAATAAATAAACTATTCAAGAATAATCTTTGTAAAGAATAGCATATTTAGATGGCTGATAGTGGTGCTGAAGAAACTGCTAAAAGAAACCTTTATCGCGCTAAATTTAATGATGTATGTTCATGAGTTAAAAAGTCTTAGGAAAGGATTCCTGATGAAATTATTATAGAATTCTTTAAAACTTTTAAAATATCGATCGATTTGGATTCTGATTTAGAGATCCTTAATAAAGATAATATCAATAGTAGCGATGATATCAATAGTAGTAACAATATTGATGATGATATCAAAGATGATATTGAAGATAATATCAACGATCATGTTTAACAAGATTTGTATATTGAAATATTAAAAATAAAAAATTTTTTTTTATATATGATATTTTATAAAATTTAATTAAATTGCTTATTTTTGGATATTAAATTAATTTGGAGGTTGCTTATTTTCAGGAATTGCTTATTTTCAGAGAAATACAATATTCCTTAAATAATAAATATAAAATTATTTATAAAACATTTTAGAAAACTTAAAATATTTTGATATCTAATAATTATAAAAGATAAAATAAAATTTATTAGATTTATCATATTAAAATATATCTAATAATATAATATTTTTAAATTTTTAAAATTAATATTTATTAATAGATAATTTCTATTTATATACAGATATATTATACATAGATCACATAATATGACTAGTATTAATATTACTTTTATCAATATGAAGAAATTAAGAAAATACCTATATAATAACTATATAGCAGATAGTTTATGATAAATAATAATTTTTCACTAAAAAATTCTAAGTCCTTAAAATAAATAGTAAAAATTAAAGATAGAGGAGTGTAACACCAGTGATAAATATATATGTCACATAATCTATGTATATATACCCTGTGTAAACTTAGAAATTTTCTAATAAAAATTAATATTTATTAATATATATCAATTTAAATAACTTATTATTTAAAAATAAATTTAATTTATTAAATTTATCTCATTAAAATCTATTAAAAAGTAATATTTTAATATTTTAAGATTGATAGATAGCAAATATAGAGTTTTGAAAATGATTTATATAAACTCATATACTTAATTTTAGAGTTCCGAAAATGACTCGCATAAACTCGCATATTTGACTCGCATGATTGTGCATAATTGTAAATTTTAGTTACACATAATAAATAAGTACTTTAAATTAAAGGTATGTAGGATAATTTTGACTCAAAACTCAACTCGACTCAACTCATTAGGAACACTACTTAATTTACATAATTATACATAATTATAAATTTTAGTTATACTTAAAATTGCTAGATAAAATCTAAAGGTTTTGTAAGTTATCTAAATAAAAAAAAGTAAAATTTAGTAAAATTATATTAAAATGTTATTAAAAAATCTGCAAAATTCTAAAAAAAATAAAACTATATTAAAGTTTTATAAAAATGTAAAACTATATCAAAACCTTAGTAAAAATTTAGCAAAACTATAGTTTAAATATTTTATTATTTAAAATGAGTTTATACAAGTATCCTTAGTTATACATAGTAAATAAATACTTTAAATTAAAAGTATGTAGGATAATTTTGACTTGAAACTTAACTTAACTTGACTTATTAGGAATACTAGTAAATATATAAGTTTAAAAATTTAATTTTTTTTAATAATAATTTATTATATATTTATTTAAAAGTTACTAGTTAATTACATTTTTTTTTAATTTTACTTAGAAAATAATATAAAATTTATTATAAAAATATAATTTTTAATAATATATTTTAAAAATACTTAAAAAAATTAAAAATGATTAATGAATAAATAAAATTACCTATAAATTTATTATCATTATTTATTTTATAATAAAATTTTATGATATTTTTCATTAGCTTATAAATACTAAAAATGTATTATAGATTTCTTTAATAAATAAATAATTAAAATAAAAATAATTAATTTTTCAAATATATATAAGAAAAAGAACTTGAATACTTTATAATTCTAAATCATCAGATATTATATTTTATAAAAATTATTATGCTATTTTTTTTACTTTTTTTTTACCTCTATTTTATATTAGGCAATTTCTATTTATATAAGGTGTATTATACACGGTCATGTGATACGGCCGGCATTAACATTACTTTTACCAATATGAAGAAATTAAGAAATTACCTGTATGACCTCCATGTGACGGTTAATAGGTGATTAATAAGAATTTTTCATCGAAAAATTCGAAAATAAATAGTAAAAACTTAAAGACGGGGGGGCGTGACGCAGGTGACAAGTATATGTCACATGATACGGATACATACACCGTGCAAACTTAGAAATTTTCTTTATATTAAAATATTAAAGTATTTTAGATTTAATTAATATAAAAGGATTTATTAAAAAAATGTTTTTTAAAATAAATTTAACACAAGAATTCGGAAAATTTATGTTGCAATAATATAACAAATGATCTTCATATCGCATGACTTTTTAGGAAATGCATCTAGCAAGCCTGTGCGACAATCGGTTTCATATATATATATCCTAATGCCCAAAAAATCACGGAGAAAATAGCAAAATAACATGCCTGATCCAACCGACAATATTCTTGCCATTGTTAACAGTCTCACTAATAAATTAAATGAAGAATTGGCTCGTTTATTTAAATATCTAACTGACAAGGATACTAATTTGGCTACTGTAGAGAAATATCTTGTTTCATGCCCAAACAATAATACCAAACTTTTATACTTAAGGGCATTATCAGAGAAGTCTAGTTTTGGTATGTTCTTACGATTAGTCTGCGCCATGTTATATTTGCTTTCAATTTTAACTACTTTTTTTTTTATTCTCTCTGTCTGATATTATCGTTATTAACCAAACAATTTTTATAGGAATGAACATGAAGAAAAAAAACATCTTATCAGATCTTGTTAAATCATTCTGTGACTTAAATAATTTTGAATTTCCAAACGATCCAAAAAGCTTAGAAACGATTCTTCAACCGTTCTGCGTAAAGATTCCTATTGAATCTGAAATATATGAGCAATGGAAAAGGGAGATAATTGATATTGATATTGACAATTATTTTGTTAATGGTGATATATCAGGGCTGAATTCAATGCAGAATGTGTGAATGCCATTTCTAAAAGAATGGACGGTTCTGAATTTCGTCTAATAAGCAAATTTGATAATATCGTTATCAATGTTTGGGAAACTCTAAAGACATACCAATCCTTGGCTATTGACATTGACCGAAATGTTAAGGATCCATCAGGAATCACAATTGATTGTCAACGGCCAGATGTACTGGTTTGGTTCAAGATGCATTGGTTTTTAAAGCAGAAGAGAAGAAGGACGGTGATTTTATTTTAGTAATGGAGGAATTGAGGGATAAAATGAGGGAATTTGGCATCATGTGAAAACCTTCCTTATCTTCTCTCGTATGGTGCAGTAAAGCATAACATTCAGTTCTTTGTCATTACTAAAGATTCTAATTTGACATCAATTTCACCTCGTTATAACATCTCTACATTTTCTGGTGGGATTAAGGTAAATAAATATTGGTTAAATTCAAAAAATTCAAAAATTACTAAGTAGACAATCTTCAAATCCTTTAGGTTTTAATAACAACTCTGAACATGTTTAAATATTTTCTTGCAGCTGCAAAATTACTTCCAGAAGTTCCATTTCCGTTTTTAAAAACATTCAATAGAAAAAGCGGTGCTTCTATTACATTTGTCTCAAGTGATCATATTCAAAAAACGATAAAGAATTTTGAGGAATATATCTACAGTGATATAGAAACTTTGCAAGAAGTTTATGAAATAATTGGATCATGTGAATATGCCGTAAAGGCATTATCAAGGCCAGAAGTATTAGAGAAAAAACGAGGAAAAAGAATAATTCAAACATATGTTGTAAATATCACACCTGTGTGTTTCAGACAGCGACCAAAAAGTATTCAAGAATTAAAAATTGCAATATATCAAATACTTAAGGTTCTTGAGATTATTCATAATTCAGGATATGTACATCGGGATTTGCGCTGGGAAAATATTTGGAAACATCACCATGGAAGATTCATTGTTGGAGATTGGGAACATGCAGGAAGGTTAAATGAAATTCCAACTTTTATTATTCAATCGTGGGCACCTGAATTACATAATATACCTACTCCACCTTATACAGATAAAGCGGATATATATCTTGTTGGACATTTATTAAATACAGTAGATGTGTTATTATCAGAGAATGCAAGAAAGTTTCGTTCATTTTTGACAAAAAATAATCCAAATGATCGTCCTTCTGCTGCGAACGCTTTGCATCATCCATGGTTTAATGAGGTAAAATCTAAACAATAAATTTTTTTTATCTTACGCATTAACTACTGACTTTTATTATATATTTTAGCAAAATTATTGAAAAGCAAATAATGAAAAGCAAATAATGAAAAGAATTTTTATAAAATGCATTGAATTTTTTTAATATTTTAAATAAAAAAAAAAATCATGTTAAATAAAAAATTGATTTGCTTTACAAATTAAAAAGCTAAAATAGCTTTACAATTAATATTTATTAATATTAAAATGATAATAAATTTATCCGAATTTTTAAATTTAATGCTAAAATTTTATTAAATTTATTTATATAAATTTATAATTATATAAAAGTTTTGATAAAAAAAAATATATATATAATTATTAAAAAAGCAATTTTTTAAGAGTAAATTTTTTTTATTGCACGTGCGATACATCGCCTCCAGGGCAAAATTATGTAATGCCGGGCAAAATTCAAACATGTGACATTTAACGCGCAGCGTGAAGAATAGAATATATATGAAAAATGAAAAAGGGAGGGGTATGTATGACACGGGTAAAAATTATAAAATTATTACATATTTTATTTATATTTTATGATATGTAAATATATTATTTCTTATATAAAAACTCTTTCTCTCTCTCAACAATATCCAAAAAATTAGAAAAAACAAAAATTTTATTTTTCAAAGAAAAATTATTTTTATATTAAAAACTTTATTCATACAATATGTCTCTTGATATTTTTAAAAACCTTTTTACTAAAGAAGTCTTAGACTTTCAAAAACTAAAAAACTACATTACGCCTGAACTTGAAAAACAAGACTTTGCCATCGTGAAATTTCTCTCTTACGAAACTCCAGAAGTTTTCTGGCTTATCAGGAAATTAAATGAAGAATATCTCAAAGCCTTTCCAGCTGAACGGACAGCCCAGGAAATTTTTCTCAACAATAATTTTATAGAAAATCTTGCGAGGTCCTATGCTTACAACATTCATGAAACTGGAATGAGCAACCATGAAATCCATAATACAAAAATATTATTTCAAATACAATTGAAACGGCTCTTTTTACTAACAAAAATGAAGATATTATTTCAACTATAGATGAAGAGGAATTAAACTCACAAATGGATACACTCAATGACGATGACATGCTTACAGATACAAATATTACAAGATACACCAATCTTCCTTTGTCGTTAATATCTTCTAACACACAACAATCTTCCTCTAAAAATCAAAACAAACCGTCGCCAAACAACCAAAATAAAAAAAGTAATAAATAAACCTACGCGTCTATCTTACAACAAAATAAAAATAATAATATTTCAAACGCGTCTGCAGATCTTATCCACAATAATAACAATATTGACGCGTCAGTGCACAATCCAATCAACAACAACAAACAAAAATAACAATTACACAAAAAAGATCTTCATCATACTTTAAAAATTCTTCTCACGTGACTCAACCTAACAAAAAAGGAAATATTTTTACGTTATTATTAGCGTTTACTATGCCAGGAGATATTAGAATAGACAAATTGAATTTCCTATCTTCTATTTTTTCCCACAAACCTGGTTTCGTAAACATAGACTGAAAATTTCACAATGGTAATGCAAACATTTTTATTGAATTTAACAATAGAAAATTTTTATTAGACACTATAGACGATGCTTTGATGAATCACCTAGAGCTTCCATTCAACCTAATCAATGAGACTCCTTCTATGAATCTCCATCACAACAATTCTACTTACAAATTAGAAACAGTCTCTAGCAATATTACACAGAATCATATCAATATAGCTCTGTCCTATTTTGGTTCAATTATCTCCATAGTAGACTAATATAGAAATCAATACTTTTCATCACGTGACGTCATCATCACATTTGATAAAGTAAAAAAACCACATCAGTTAAATACAGCTTGGGCACATAACATAAATGGACAGGTTATAAGATGCGCATATATTGACACTTTAATAGAAGAATTAAAAGATAGAAATCATTTCATAGCTGGCTTTAAAGGTTATAAAAATAAAACTACACCAGCTGATGCCTTTCGTACCTTAAGAGCTTTCAATGCTCGATCATATTACTTTCATAATAATATCGCCTATGCTACTTTTGCATCTGAAGAAGATATGAAGTCGGTATGTTCACAAAGAATTATACACAATAGATACAAATTAGATGAAAGACCCAGAATCCTTAATCATTCTTACACATAAGCTGAATTAGTCCCTTCATCTGATACTACTTCTCCTAAGTCCTTTTCTAATAAATATCAAAGAAACAGACGCCTCTCATTCAACAATAACCTAAATAAAGGGAAAGGCAAAGATGTTGAATATACCTTACCTAATACACAACATGTCGAATCCTCTTCTAATAATACTCCTAATTCCTTAGATTTAATTCTAGCCAAACTTCAAGAATTAGACTCAATCAAATCTCATTTGGCAAAATTAGATTCTCAGATTCTAGCTTTTACTAATCATGATGGACCTATAGCCCATCAGTTATAATATACTTCACACTAGGCGAATCATAGCTAAAAAGTATTTCTACTGATAACTGGAATACTTCTAACACTAATATAGATGTTACCTCTTTCTTAAACAATCAAATTTCTCAATTTTACGATAATAGACAAAACAATATCAATAAAATAGATAAAGATATTACACAATTAGATAAAAATACAAGTGATAACATAATTAAAGGAGATATCATAACTTTTGCTACACATAACATAAGAGGCATCAATAATACAACAGATCCTATTAAATCTTCTCAAATAATGGAACACTTTACACATAACAATGTAGATTTCATCAGTTTTACAGAAACTCACCACAACTCATCAATATTATACAAACATAAACAGGACCAATATTATACAACTTTTTGGAGCTAACCTGATCCTTTACAACCTTTTGCAGGTATTGCCCTACTAGTATCAAAAAAATGGGACAAATACATTGCTTCTTCATTTACATCAGACTCACGAATGCTTTATGTAGATTTATATCTAAAAGGACACATTAAACTTAGAATTATTAGCTGTTATATTTATGCTAATATAACTGATTCTAAATGTAAACATGATCGAAGACTCTTACAAAAACAAATTCTTAATATATTAGATGATAGCTACAAACAACAATACCATACAATTATAATGGGGGATTTTAATATTAATATAGATGAGTATCATGAGCATTTAAAACTTGACAAAAATCTTGGATGGCGATTTGATCTAATAGAAGGATTGTCACATAGAAATTATACAGATCTACAATTAGTCTGTAATGAAGATATCCTTTCAACTTTTTTCCCACCACACAGTGCTATCAGAACCTATATACCCAAGAGACTTGATGGCATTTTTTGTTCATTTAATTTCTTTGCTGACCTTCTTTACTGCGATGTCTCAAAACCTCTCATTTATTAATCAGATCATAGGATTATCACGTCATATTTTGCTAATCCAGTAAAGAGACAAGAAGCTCAAGCAAGACGTAATAAAACAAAGAGAAAAAAATTTAACTTTGTTATCATGACTGAAAAAAAATGGAAGTTTTTTGCAGAAGCTACAGACATACAATTTAAATACCACAACATGGATAAACTGCTCTTACTACCTAAATCACATGATCATATGAATCGTATATGGGAACACCTTAGAAATGTCATTCTAACTGCTGCCACCAAATCTATTCCCTATAAATGGATTTCTGCAGATCAAAAAACTCCAAAACCAAAGAAATTAGTAACTTTCTATGATCATATGAAATTAATTAACAAAATAGTTATTAAATTTAGAGCTGCTAGGGTGAATTCAAGAACTTGGCCTCTAGAAGATGAATGGAATGCTGATTTAGAAATCATTAAAAAAGTTACCTTCTCTGCTAAGTTACCAATAACTTTTTTGCCAAATATAATTACCAATTCTAATGTTAAAGAAGTCAGAAAAACATTTTTGAAAATTTACCATAACTTAAAAGCACTCTCTAAAATTGAAGAGGCAAATATTTCACACCAAAGAATCAAATATTTCATAGATCAACGTTGCTTACAATATGAATCAAATCCAGGTAAAATGATTCAGTCAGCTCTAGGAAGATCAAAGAAAACTATTGTATTAGATTGTCTCATAATTAAAGACGGTGATAGAAAAAGTTTTTTGATTAATGATTCACAGCTTATTAAAAAACATGTAAATAAACATTTTCAAAATTTTGCGATTCCTGAGTCACCTGCCACCTCTCTTTTTGGAAGATAGATCAATCAATACTAACCAAAAGATTATGTTGATAGTACTTGGTTTAACAATATCATGCAACCTCCTACAATTGAAGAATTATCTTCAGTA